GCAGAAGCGGAATCCTGAGCAGGCGGGCATGAGGCTGGAAGGCAAAGCCCGGGTCCTGAAGGATGCTGCTGAGCTCCCTGCACCTGACATGGTCCAGGCAACTTGGTCCGGAGCCTTGGGGCTGTGCTGGAGAAGACAGTTCATGGCGGCTGCACGAGAGGCTTTCTTCCGGTTTCCTGCCACCGGCAAGATGGCTCCTGACCTTGACTTGACTCAGTCTGTCTGGCCATGTGTCTCCTTGGCACTGTAGCCCTGAGGCTGTGCCACTGCCCCACACTCCACGGGGGTCTGCCCTTCAGGTCCTCTCCGGGACTCCAGCCGTCACGGAAAGTGACTGCACCGCTTGGGAACAGTGATCCTAATGTTGTTGAGTTCAACATTTGTATAAACAGGGAATTGGCCAAAAAGACTGACACAACCACTTTTAACTTTAAAAGGGGTAACTTCTCTGATATGAGGGGACATGTGGGGAGGAAACTGAAAGGAAAAGTAGAAAGGGCCAAAACCACTGGGGAAGCTTGGAAACTATTTAAAACTACGATCCTAGAAGCTCAAAAAAAATATATTCCGCAGGTTAGGAAAGGCACAAGCAGGTATAGGAAAAAGCTTGCATGGTTAACAAACAAAGTAATGGAAGCTGTAAAAGGTAAAAAGGATTCCTTTAAGCAGTGGAAAGCTAGTCACCGTGAGGCTGATAAAACGGAACATAGGCTATGGCAAATAAAATGCAAGTCTGTGGTCAGGCAGGCAAAAAGGGAATATGAGGAGTATATAGCAAAAAACGTAACAACCAGCAATAAAACTTTCTTCAAATACATTAGAAGCAGGAAACCAGTCAGGGAGGCAGTGGGGCCCTTGGATGACCAAGGGGTAAAAGGAGTACTGAAGGATAATAGGGAAATGACTGAGAAGCTAAATGCATTTTTTGCCTCTGTCTTCACTGTGGAAGATGAGAAGTGCTTGCCCACTCCAGAACCGCTGATTTCGGGAGGGGTGTTGAAAGACCTGAGTCAGATTGAGGTGACGAGAGAGGAGGTCCTAAAACTGATAGACAACTTAAAAACTGATAAATCACCAGGCCCAGATAGCATAGATCGGAGAGTTCTGAAAGAACTCAAATGTGAACTTGTAGATCTCCTGACAAAGATATGTAATCTTTCCTTAAAATCTGCCTCCATTCCTGAGGATTGGAAGGTAGCAAATGTCACTCCCATCTTTAAAAAGGGTTCCAGAGGAGATCCGGGAAATTACAGGCCAGTCAGTCTGACGTCGATACCGGGTAAATTGGTGGAAACCATTATTAAGGAAAGAATTAGTAGGCACATAGATGAACAAAACCTATTGAGGCAGACTCAGCACGGTTTCTGTAAGGGAAGATCTTGTCTCACTAACCTGTTAGTGTTCTTTGAGGGGGTGAACAAACATGTGGACAAGGGGGATCCAATAGATATTATTTACCTTGACTTCCAGAAAGCTTTTGATAAAGTTCCTCATCAAAGGCTCCTAAGTAAGCTCAAAAATCATGGGATAGAAGGACAAGTCCTTTTATGGATCAAAAACTGGCTAGTTCATAGAAAACAGAGAGTGAGTGTAGGTGGGCAATTTTCTCAGTGGAGGGTGGTAAGCAGTGGGGTACCACAGGGATCAGTACTTGGTCCACTGCTTTTTAACTTGTTCATTAATGATTTGGAGATGGGAGTAAGCAGTGAAGTGGCTAAATTTGCGGATGATACAAAGTTGTTCAGGGTGGTGAAAACCAGTGAGGATTGTGAGGCACTCCAAGGGGATCTGTCAAGGATGGGCGAGTGGGCGTCAACATGGCAAATGGGGTTCAATGTGGCCAAGTGCAAGGTGATGCACATTGGAGCCAAAAATCCTAAATATAAATACACATTGATGGGGTCTGAACTGGCAGAGACTGAGCAAGAGAGAGATCTTGGAGTTGTAGTGGATAACTCACTGAAAATGTCGAGACAGTGTGTGACTGCAATAAAGAAGGCCAATGCTATGCTGGGGATTATTAGGAAGGGTATTGAAAACAGATCAGCCAATATAATAATGCCCCTATATAAATCAATGGTGAGACCTCATTTGGAATACTGTGTGCAGTTCTGGTCACCACACCTTAAAAAGGATATGATAGCTTTGGAAAAAGTGCAGAAAAGGGCAACTCGAATGATAAAAGAGTTGGAACACTTTCTCTATGAGGAAAGGTTAAAGCGCTTAGGGCTCTTTAGCTTGGAGAAAAGACGACTGAGGGGTGACATGATCGAGGTTTATAAGATTATGCATGGGAAAGAGCAGGTAAAGAAAGAGGTACTTTTCTCCCTTTCTCACAATACAAGAACTCGTGGGCACTCCATGAAACTGCAGAGCGGTCGGGTTAGAACGGATAAAAGGAAGTACTTCTTCACCCAAAGAGTGATTAACACTTGGAATTCACTGCCACAGGAAGTGGTGGCGGCTACAAGCATGGATGGCTTCAAAAGGGAATTGGATAAGCATATGGAGCAGAGGTCCATCAGTGGCTATTAGCCACAAGGTATAGATAGGGGCTCCGGGGCAAGTGATGCTCTGTCTTCTTGGTGCTTGGGGGGGGGGTCAACAGTGGGAGGGCTTCTAATGTCCTGGCCCCACTGCTGGACCTCCTGATGGCACTGGTATTTCTGGCCACTGTGTGACACAGAGTGTTGGGCTGGATGGGCCTTTGGCCTGATCCAACATTGGCGTCTCTTATGTTCTTATGTTCACAGCTGGGTTGCTGGTGGGAGCTAGGCAGAAGAGGAGCACCCCCCCCACACACACACCCTGCAACCACTCCACTGGTTACTGGTCAGTCACCAGGTTCAGTCTGAGGTAGCGGTCATCACCTACAAAACCCCTCACGGCCTTGGGCCCACGGACCAGCAGGACTGCGGCTCTCCCCCAGCTCTGGCCCGGCAGCTCCTTCACTCACCAGGATGGGGAGAGGGTTGGAATCCAAGTCTTAGGAGGAAAGGCTGAAAGAGTTGGGTCTGTTTAGCCTGGGAAAGAGAAGGCTTATTAGAGGGGACACGATTGCAGTCTTCCAAGTATCTGAAGGGCTGTCATGTAGAAGATGGAGCAGATCTATTCTCTCTTGCTCCGGATTGCAAGACTAGATGTAATGGGTGGGAATGACAAGGGAGTTGATACCGGCTAAATAACCGGAGAGACTTCCTCACTGTCAGAGTGGTTGAGCAGTGGAACAATCTGCCTCCGGAGGTGGGGGAGGCTCCTTCGCTGGATGTTTTCAAGCGGAGGCTGGATGAGTATCTTCCGGGTATGTTGTAGGGCTGTCTTTCGGCTCTGCTCCTGCAGAGTGCAGGGGGTTGGACTAGATGACCAGCAAGGTCCCTTCCAACTCTAACATTCTATGATTCACCGGAGCAAAGCCTTCTGAGGGTGCCCCCTGCCAACCGCCCATTCATGCCCATCCTCTGTTCTTCCTCGGGGAACTGGCCGGGAAGCCCCCCCCCCCTTGCCTTTCACAGAATGTGCAAAACAGAATTGTTCAGGAGGGCATTTTCATGCAGGGATTAGAACCGGAGCAGAATGCAACCATTTCGGAGGGGCTCTTTTATAATGGAATTAGGATCGGAGTCCACTGGAATGATTATTCCAGGTGTCAGCTTGCTTCACTGCATTGTCTCTGTACCCTGCTTAGGCAGTCTGCGGTTTGCATTGCCTTCGACTTCTGTAATCGTAGCCCAACTGCATTGCTCGTCGGATGTTCCAGGCTATATGACTACTTTTATTTATTCCTTTAATTACACTTATTTATAGCCTGCCTTTCTCTCTGAGCCTCAAGGCAGGTTTCTGGAGTACACAGAGAAAAAAGAAGTAATTGTACAGTACAGGACGTTGGGTAACTCATGCAAGAGGAGCCGGGAGTACGGCACAAAACAGAGTGAGGCGTCACGTGGCCACGCAGTACAAGCCGTGCAATAAACTATCTGACTGAACAACAACACGATGGGGCTGGGAATGCAGCCTGAACGGCTGGCTGCCTTCGGTTGCGGCAAGAAACTTTGTTGGCCTTAAAGGTGCCACAGGACTCAGAGCTTGGTTCAAAGGAGTAAGCAAAGAGCGTTGTACATCAGGCTCTTTTAAGGAATGCAGCATTTTGTTGTTGTGTTTTTCCCTGTTTCAATATTCTTCTGCCTTGCTGCCCCTTGGTTTTGAGCTGCCTCTTGGGAAAGGTTAGATCAAAACGTTCTCAAGAAACGCCTGGAGTCTAAGGAGGGCAGGTACACGCGACCAGAAGGCACCAGTGTCAGGAAGGGGTGGCCAGCCAGTTCCCCCCCTAACGACCTCTCCTGTCCTGCTACACCCAGAAGCTGGGAGAGAAAAGGGGGCTGGCCAAGAGCAACTTCTGGGGCCACCACAGGCCAGGTGCAGCGAAGGGGAGCCAAGCACCTCTGGACGGCAGGCCCCACAGTGTCCAGGCAGAGAGCGCAGCCAGAGAGGGCACCAGCCCCGTCCAGAGAGGCCGCCCGCTCCTCCTCGCCCATCTGCTCGGGGCCCCCCAGGGGGACTACTGCAGGGGATGGTGGCGCCACATGGGCAGGGCAGGGCCCCCTCCCAGCTCTGCTTGAGGCTTAGGCAAAGGGGTCAGGCTAGATGGCCTCACGGGTCCCCTTCCCACTCCTAGATCGCGGTACTAACGAAAGATGCCAAGGGCGACCGTGGGGGAGGGGGGGTGGCACCTTCATGCTGTCCCGTCCCCGTGCAGTGCCGAGCACGCCAGGGTCGGAGGAGCTGCTCCCTTCCCCGCCGAGGCCGCCTGGAAAGGCAGGATCCAGTCCCCGCTCAGGGCCACGGGAGGCCGGCGGGTGTCCTGACTCGCAGCGGCGCCTACCTGGCAGGGCGGTTGTTCGAGCGGGGGGGGGGGGAAGGACGAGCAGGAAGGGACCTCGCTGGAACCGCTCCGCCGCCGCCGCCGCCCCCCTCCCCGTCCCCGTCCCGGCGCGCCCGCTCACCGTAGCCCAGGCTCAGCCGCGGGCCGCTCTCCTCCTCCTCCGCCGCCGCCGCCGCCGCGGC